CCCTGGGGTGGGGGTGGGGGGCTGGGCTCAGGCACAGCCCTAATGGGGGCCCCCAGGGTGGGGGGGCTGTGGCCACCCAGAGGGACAGAATGCCTGCCAGGAAGCAGATTCCAGCTCTGGGTACTCTGGGTACTGTGGGCAGGTCATCGTCACCCCGGAGGTTCAGCGTGCTCACCGGCAAACTGGGCTCCGGCGGCGAGGATTAGATGAGCGTGGCTAGCATTTATTTACTAAGGGCTTTTCCGCAGCAGATGCTGCTTCCCGTGCTTTACACATACTAACGCCCATAATCCTCACGGTTGTGTGGGGTAGTACTATCTCCATGTGACAGAGAGGGAACCGAGTCACCAAGAGGTGAAGGAACTTGCCTGGTGTCACTTGGTTGCAAGAAGTGGTGCAGCGAGGATGTTAGGTGAAGCCACTGGGCCCCTCTGCTGTGCGGGTGTTTGCTCGGCAAATGCTGCTTCTCTAAGGCCAGCTGAACCGGACTCCAGACTCGGGGGTGGGGGCGGGGAGGGGGGTGCAGAGGAAGCTCCCTGCTGGGCACTGGGGCCTGAGTGCAAGGTAGGGGGCCCCTGTGCTGCGGGAACAGAGGGAAGGAAGCCAGTGTGCTAAGGCCTCCTGGCCCCCTGGTCCTCAGCACTTCAGATGACAACCTCCTTAAGAACATTGAGCTGTTTGACAAACTGGCCCTGCGCTTCCACGGGCGGCTGCTTTTCCTCAAGGATGTCCTGGGGGACGAGATCTGCTGCTGGTCCTTCTACGGGCAGGGCCGCAAAATCGCCGAGGTGTGCTGCACCTCCATTGTCTATGCCACGGAGAAGAAGCAGACCAAGGTCAGACGGGGCTCAGGGCCTGGTCAGGGAGGGCTGTGGTGGTGGGCAGCAACCAGGACCCCCCGCCAGAGGCAGCGCAGCAGACCAGGCAGTGGGAAGTCCTGGGAGTCAAGAGCTGCGCTTCCAAGTTCTGGGGTCTCGTGTAACCTTGGGCAAGTCACCTTCCCCATGCGGGTCTCTGTTCCTCTGGTATGAAACGAGAGTGTTGGATTAGAGTGGGATTCTTTACCTAGCCCATTTGGGTCTCAAGGCTGTCCTGAAGTGGTGTGCAGGTTTGGGAGTGTGTACGCATTTTTCCGTATAGAAGGACCATAGTTGTCGGGGCGCCTGGGTGGCTCAGTTGTTAAGCATCTGCCTTCAGCTCAGGTCATGATCCCAGGGTCCTAGGATCGAGCCGCGCATCGAGCTCCCTGCACCGCAGGGAAGCCTGCTTCTCCCTCTCCCACTCCCCTTGCTTGTGTTCCCTCTCTCGCTGTGTCTCTCTCTCAAATAAAGAAATAAAATCTTGAAAAAAAAAAAAAAAAAGAAGGACCATAGTTGTTAGAATCTCAGAAGGGTCCATGACCCAAGATAGGTTCTTATAACCTCAGGGCCTTAGAACACACAGGTCTCTTAGAACACGCTGAGTTTGTAAGTCCTGAGTCGTTAACCTGGCAGTCATCAGCAGATACTGCTTGAGCACCTCCTCTGCACCAAGCACGGCACCAGGCTTGGAATCCAGGTGAATGAAAGGCCTAGTAAAGTACCAGCCCTCTGTCGTGTCATCTGCTCCCTTCTGACCTTGATATGGAGGAAGTGCCTCAGACCCAGTGCTATTTCATACCTCCCCACCTTTGCACATGCTAGTCCCTCTTCTTGGACTTTTTCCTCATCCCCATCTGCCTAATGAACTTGTGCCCAATCTTTAAGACACAAGCCAAGCACAGCTTTCTTTGGGACACCTTCGCTCATGAGCTTTCAACCTCTCACAACCCCAAAGTTGGTCATACTTCCTTCCTAGTCTGCAGCGGTCAGGAGGGTGTCACAGCAGCAGCAAGGGGTTAGCTCCTTGAGGGTAGGGCTCTAGCTTTTCTTCCTATCTCTCTAGCACTAGACAGGCGCTTACCATGCAGTGGAAGCTAGGAAGCATTTACCGAATGCATGCAGGAATGAATGACCCAGCTTCCAAGAAGTTCCCACTGTAATTGGGAAGACAGGAAGATAAACCAGTAATGAGAATGCAGCTTGTTAAGAGTTATATTAGCTCTGTCCCTCCAGGCCACACAACACGACACCTCCTCCGTCCCTCTCCAACACCTCCTCGTTTCACCCCTTTCTACTTTCTCTCCACTGTGCCTCCTTCCTGCTGATCTTCAAATACTGTACTAAGTGCACCCCTGCCCCGAGGCTCTTAGCCTTGCTGTTGCCTGTTCCCCAGACTGCCGTTTCTCTACTTACCCACCTGGCTCCTTCCCTCTCTCCTGTGACTGCTGGTTGAATGTCACCCTTTCAATGAGGCCTTCTCTGAATGCCCTCTCTGAAGTTGTAACGTTTGTGGCCATGACCCTCCCCACCCCCTTTTTCTGCAGTATTTTTTCCTGTAACATTTATCACCATCTGAGAGTTTATATTTGAGTACACGTATGTCTGGGTCCTCCCCCTTGAACATAAACTTCCTGCAGACAGGAACTTCGTTTAGTTCACTGCTATATTCCTAGTGCCTAGAACGACACCTGGGACGGGGCCGTCACTCAGTATTTGTCAAATGCAAGAACATACCAAGAGACTTGGCAGCAAAGGAGAGAAAACAAGTAACTCTGCCTGACTTCAGAGCTGGACCTTGAGGGATAAGTATGACTTTGCTGAGTAAAGAATTTGCCAAGGGGTTGGATAGTCCAGGCCAAAGAACCCGTGACTGCAAAGGCTAGGGGGTGCTCCTGTGCAGGAGCAGCTGGGCCGGGGGGCTGTCTGTGTAACTGCATCAGAGGGTAGGAGCTGGGGCTCGCTGGCCTTTTGCAGGTGGAATTCCCAGAGGCCCGGATCTTTGAGGAGACCTTGAACATCCTGATCTACGAGACTCCCCGGGGCCCAGACCCAGCCCTCCTGGAGGCCACAGGGGGTGCAGCCGGAGGTGGTGGGGCAGGCCGAGGGGAGGATGAGGAGAACCGAGAGCACCGTGTCCGCAGGATCCATGTCCGGCGCCACATCACCCACGACGAGCGTCCTCATGGCCAACAGATTGTCTTCAAGGACTGACCTCTGACCTTTCTGTGTTCTTCCTGCCACTGGAACGCAGTTCCTCTCTCTTTCCCTCCCCTTCCCAGACCTTTGCCCCGGCTTTGCTGGCCAAGTCGTGGGTCCTCCTTCTGTCCCTTCATTGCATGGTACAGTTCCCTGTGGCCCTTTTCCATTCATTCCCACCTCACTGCTAACAACACGGTATGTTCCAGCCCCTTCCATCAGTCAGAACCCTTCAGAAGGCCTGTTCCCTCATCCCATCCTTGTCTTGCTATCTTCCTCACCAGCTGGTTTAGAATGATTTAGAATTCCCCTTTTCTCTTTCTCTCTCTCTTTTTTTAGCACATCGTACATGCCAAAGTGTCAAGCCAGCCCTTACGGACACCCACCATGTTCTGAGCCGCCTCCCCACCATTGTGCAGGGTAGTTTCCCTCCCTCCTCCTTCCCCCACCAGTCCCCCCCACCGCTTTGACTTTGTACTAGGCTGGCCTGGGCTTGCACCAGCTCAGCCATCTTCTCAATCTATTACATATTATTTATTTTAATTTTCTATTAAATTATTGGAATAAAGTTGAGCTGAGGGTCTGGTGCTGGCTCCGGGGGAGAGGGTCAAGGAGATGGCTTGTGTTAAGGAGGTACTTGGCTAGTTGGATGGGAGAGGACAGGAGCTCCCGCCCCAAGCCTTTTACTGGGCTGGTAGCTGGATGAAGGAGTTAGGAGAGGACTTAAAATCTGTATTTCAGTGTAGGCTGGCCAGTTCCCACCCTCAGCCCCACCCCACCCCCTGCAGCGGAGAGGAGGTCCTGGCTACCACTCAAGCCATCCCTGGGTAGTGCAGCACCTCTCCAGCCCAGGTGTCTGAAGGGAGCCCCTTCCTTCAAGGGTCTGGTGCGAAGACAAAGTCAAGGGCCTGGCGCTCGGCCCCGGCCACGTTGGGGTGCCAAAGGTCCACGATGAAGACCACCCGAGGCCCGTCTTCGGGAGAGCCTAGGGCAAATGGGGATGGAGACAAGAGAGTGGCTGACATTAACTACTTATCTGCCAGAGTACTCACCACATACTCATAACAGCCGGCACTTGGCAATTAAGTACCAGGCTCTGTTCTAACCCCTTATATGTGTTAACTCTTACTGATCAAAACAAACTGCAAGTCAGTACCATGATTATTCCCATTTTTATACAAAGTAACTGAGGCACAAAGAGGTTAAATAACTTGCCCAAGGTCACACAGCTAGTAAGTGCCAGAGGTAGGACAGGAACCCGGGTGGTCCAGGCCCAGGGCCTTGTTAACCACTTTGCTGTGCACCTCCATGACCTCATTTAATCCCTGCAGTCACCTGCTAAAGAAGGTGGTCGCCCTACTTCACAGGTGTTGGGGGAAGTTATATGACTTGTTCAAGGTCATGCAGCTGGAAGGTGGTAGTGCTAGGACAGGGAGCCAGTTGCACCTGAATCCGCAGCCTCTATTCCCCTCCACTCAGTCTCTCTTTCCTCCTAACAGAACTGGAGCCCATTACCATTATGAGCCACTGTGTTCAGGAAGGAGTCGTCCACCAGTAGACAGTGTCCCTCAGCCCAGCACTGGGGCTCGCCCCCGACCACGAGCTCACAGCCGGGAGGAATCTTCAGGCCTGTGGAAAGAGATCCAGGCATCCAACACCCCCGCCTCCATCAAAGGGGCCCACCCTATTCAGTCAAAAAGCAGCTTGAAGGTCTTCAAACGCCCCATGTACTGTCCCTCCTTGCTCTCTGGAAGGTGTCCCAGATGTAATTACAATATAGTAGCAGATGAGAGAAGTGCTGGGAGATAAGGGAAAGGCAGTGCAAAGCACAGTCTACTGTTCCAGAGAAAAGGGAAGGCTTCCTGGAGGAAGCGGCATCTCTTCTTGGGCTTCTGCCAATTTAGTTCAAGAACCTACTTACTGTGTGCTCGGCCCTCATTAGTATAAAACTAATGGATCCATTTTGGCCCCAGGACCACAACACAGGAAAGTGCTTTGAGAAACCTGAGCAGCCAACTCAAATGATGGGGAATAGGGGGACCCCCCCAGAGGAGGTGTGGCACTTGAAAGTGGGAGTCCTGAAGATTGAGTAGTTTTCCAGGAGGTGATAGGTGATAAGGAGGAAAGACATTCCAGGCTGAGGATCGAGTGTGGCATCTGCCAGGGTCAACCAGAAGGCTCTCCTGATCTGATGTGTGGTGGGAGGGAAGGGGAGGAAGGGAACAGCTGGGAGATAAGGTGAGAAAGAATCTGGACTTGATCCTGAAGCCAGTGTGCTTTGAAGTGAAGGACACATCAAACTGGTGGCACAGGAAATGATTTTAGGCAACACAAGGTTTTAACCCTGCATTAAATAACAGAGTTGTTTCCTTTTCCATTGTTTCTCAGTCTTTAAAACATGAAGAAGGGAATCTCAGTTTGGTGCCACCATAACTTTAACACCCCCCTAACACCACTCCCTTCTAAAGGAAGAGAGGGTAGGCTTCAGTCTCAGACTGGAGTATTTAACTAGAATTTTTAAAGCTTTTTTTTTTAAGTTTAAATTTGTTTTTATGGGTACTTTCTATTTTAGTGCAAGTAATACTGATTATCATTGTTCTATAAAGATTCCTTTTAAATAAATAAGTGAAACAAAATGTAAGGGGAATCAGTATCAAGAAACATAGTCCAGGTGGTAAATGACCATGACAAAGCTTATGAAGATGGTTGGCAGGTAATCGAAGCTTAGGAAATGCTGCTGTGGGCAGCAGGGAGTCACGGAAGACTTCCGAGAAGACAGGCATGATCAGAAGCACAGTGTAGAAAGCTCTGGTGGCAGAGAAGACAGTCTGGAGGAGGAATCATGGAGGCAAGGAGGTTGTCTGTAGGCAGCATCTACTTACCCAGATGGCATCTGACCCGGGCATTGGTGGGCCCACAGCGACCCTCAAGCCGGGCCCCAGGCAGGAGGACAGAAAAGCCAGCATTGCCGAAGGTGTTGGCACTCATAAAGCTCCGCAGCCCCCTCAGTGCCCGATAGGCCCCCGGACACCGGCGGCAGTTGCTGGGTTGGCACCGGCCTGCTTGGTACAGCAGGAGCTGGTAGCACCCAGGGGCCAGGGGTGGGGACCAGCCCCGAGGCAGAGGAGTAGTCCCTGAGAAGTCCCAGCTCACAGCCCCGAAGTCCCGCAAAATGGCAGGGAAGCTGCTCTCCAGGAGCTCCACGTCATGCCGCTGGGCATCCCGTGGCATGAAGGGGGCTGAGGGCAGGTCTGGCAAAAAAAGCAGGCCTGGGCGCTGAATGCCCAGGACCCCCGGCCCTCCCCCAGGGCCTGGGCCACCTTGAGCTGCCCGCCTCACCCTACCCATGCCCGCCCAGGAGTAGCGCCTGGCGTAGGCCCGCAGGCGACGGCTCACTAGGCCTTCTGCCCTGGGTCCTTCCCTAGGCTCCCCAGAGCTCCCTGGGCTTGGCCTGCCAGTCTCAGAGCATCCCCTAGGCCCCCCACTGACACTCCCAGCCCGACTCCCAGCCCCGAGAGCCTGCATGTCTTGGGAGCCCAGGCGGTAACAGTACCAGAGGAAAAGGGAAGTGAGGGCTCCAAGGAGCAGGGTGAGGGCTGAGGAGGCCAAGGGCGATGGCCACGCAGGCATGATGGGCAGGGAGGCCCTGACCAGGAGGCCTGGGGCATCTTCCAGACCCCAGTTCCCCTGTCCTCCCAGGTCTCCACCGGTTCCCTCTGTGGCTGCTCCCGGGTTACCCCCTGGGCTGTTTCCCCTCCACATTTCCCACTCTTGGTTCTCTCTCCTGAGGTCTTCTCTTCACCTTCTATCTCTCTCTTTCTCACCTTCTTCAAGTACCTCCCAACCCTCCTTTCTCTTTTTCTCCTTCTATCTCTCTCGCCTTCTACCTCTTCTTTCTCCTTCAACTCTCTCCTCTTCCTTTCCCCTCACCCCCTCTCCTTTCTCCTTCCGGCAGTTTCTCTCCCTCAGCCTCTCCTTTCCCCACCCTCTCTGTCCTTCCCTCTCCTTTCTTCTCTCCTCCCCGCCTCTCTTAGCTCTCCCTCCCTTCCTTCTAGCTTCCCCCGACAGCAATTCCTACCCCACCTGGACCCGGGAGCCCGCAACCAGTTGTCCTCCGCAGCGGCTTCTCTCTCTCCTTCCAACCCCTCGTCCCCTTCTGCCCTCGCTTCTCACTCGGCCCGACCCGCGGGTCTTTCTCTCTCTCTCTCTCTCTCCTCCCTCCCTTTCTCCTACTCGTTCCTTCCTTGGCTCCCACTCACCCTGACGTCACCCCTCCCCACAGTCATCTCAGCTTAGCTATCCCCGCCCCCACCCAGTGGCAGTCGCATCTCAGCCGGGGTGGGGGGGGGTCGTCTCCGGATTCGCCTCCCCTCCCCGCCCCGACGGGGCGCCACGTGGGGCGCAGGGGGCACTGTGCCAACCTCCAGCCGCCCCGCAATGCGAAAAGAAGGGGCGGGGGCTGAGGGAGGGGTGTGGCAAGACGAGGGGCGGGGCGAGCGCGAAGACTGATGGGCAGGACCGGCGCTCCCGGACTGAGGACAGGGACACTGCGGCCCGTCCGTAGGTCTGCTGATCCCTTGACCAGTCGGCCTGTGACTCCCCTGCCCCCTCCGCTTCCACTAGAACCAGCCCCCCCACCCCACCCCGGGAGCCTGATTGACAGTGAGGGCGGCTTCAGCCAATCGCCCGCGGCGTCTGGGGCCGGGCCCGCTCCGGCGGGGCCGGGAAGAGCTGTCCGCTAGCTGGTGGTGCTGAAAAAGGCGCCCAGAGGCGCTGTGAGGGAGGCCAGAAGAAAAAAAAAAAATCAAAGTTGAAGCTGCCTGGCAGCTGGCCGGGGTCATGTATGTAAGAGAAGGGGTCTCTCCTTCCCAGATCTCGGCCTGTCGCCCCTTCGACTTCTCATAAACGTGGAAATTTGCCATTCTCCTGGAGGAGGAGAAAGCCCATTTCACAGGAGCTGTAAAAGGGAAAGGGAAGTCCCGTGGGGAGGAGGGAGGTGTCTGGATGTGGGCAGGGGGCATATTGGAGAGCTGAGCAAGCGTGAACCCAGCTGTGCCGCCCCTCGGCACCCTGGGAAGAGGAGATTCAGATTCCAGATGTGCTGGAAAGGCTGGGGGAAAGGGTTGTAATTACAGCTAGGACCAGAGTTTCCTTTGCCTCCCCTAGGGGCCGCGGGAGTGAGGATTACGGTCTGGCTCATGTGGTCCCTCCTTCCTCCATCTGCACTTCCTCCTTCTTCCTCCCCCCCCGTTGCCCCCAAATAAATCCCAGGCCCCTCCCTTCGCCCGTCCCCAGGATCTGACGTGGGCTCGACACCTTTCTCAGCTTCTCCCTCCCGCAGCTCCAGTGCCCGAGCTTCGGCTCTCCAGGTTCCGCAACCCCCTCCCCTCCCCACCAAGCCCCGCTAGAGCACAGTAGGGACCCTCCCGATCCTCAACCCCACCCCAGACCCCCAGAAGCTATCTTGCCTCTCCCCACTCCCCCAGCTTGGGATCCAGCTAGCTCGGTGGACCCAGGCGCCCGAGCGAGAGGGTAACCCAGGCGACCCAGCCCCTTCGGCCTTCCCGGTCCCACCCCTTGCAGCCGGAGCCGCGCCCCCTCTCCCACAGACCCGATAGCAGAGGACAGAGGAGATTGGGCAAGGAGGGGCGGGATCCAGGCGACCCCCAGCTCAATTCTGCCCCTCCATCCCAAGGGGCAGAGAAATTGTCTTCCTTGCTAACTGCTAGCAAGGGGGTGGGGGAGAAAATTAAAGGGAAAGATAAAAGGAGACAGAGGAAAGGTGACAGCTAGATAATTTAGGAGAGGCGCAGAGGAGAGAAATCGGTGTGAGTCGCCATGGGGACTCCCAGGGCCCAGCACCCGCCGCCTCCCCAGCTGCTGTTCCTAATTCTGCTGAGCTGTCCCTGGATTCAGGGTAAGGACATGGGAGCATGGGGGTAGGCCCGGGGAAGGTCCCCAGCTGGGTCCTCTACCATCCTTTCTCTCAACATCCTGGGCTTTCCAAGCTTCTGGGGGAGGGGAGGGGTACAGCTGACAGGGAAGTGGCAAGCCGGGGCTTTCTGGCTTGTACCTGGAGCCCTAAACCCCAATACTGAGAAGGTGGGGAAATGAATGAGGGGAGCTTTTACCAGCGTCTCAGGGGCTAAATCCAGGAAGAAGGGCTGGGGAAGTTGGGGGGATGTCTGCGGAGGCGGCAGAAGCATGCAGGGTACCTGGGTGGGAGAGATGCCAGGCACTGCACACGCAAATGTTCTTGGACTTATGGACAAAGACAGATGAACAGAGGCAGTGCTCAGAGCCCACATATTCAGTCCTCTATTCTGACCCCTCGCCAGACTCCAGGGAAGCGGGCAGAGACTGCAGAGAATGAAAGAGAGAGAAAGAGAGAGAGAGAGCCACACTGCAGAGATAGAAACCCAGAGAGAAAGCTGGGCATTGCGGAAGCGAGGGCTGGGAGGTGCTGCCAGACCCTCCGCAGAGCTCCAGGGTTGGGGGAAGAGCACCATCGAGGGGAAAAAGAAGGTAGCACCGTGGCCCCTCTCCACTCCGCTGGTGCTGTCCAGGGTTCATAAGAGCCAAGAGGCTCACCGAAGGCGCACACAGCCTGGGAGGGGGGTGGGGTGGAGAGAAAGGTGTAGGAGTGTGAGGGGCAGCTGGGAGCCCCTCCTCCAATCTTGGCTCTCAGCCCAGTCTGGGACCCTCTGAGCTTCTGCAGGCCCAGCTGACTGAGGAGAGAGGAAGAGCTCTGGAAAAGATCTTTCTGGAGAAGGAAGGAGTGTGGGGCAGTGGAAGGGCTCACACAACTTCATCTCCTAGGTCTGCCCCTGAAGGAAGAAGAGGCACTGCCAGAGCCTGGAAGTGAGGCCCCCACAGCAGCCTCTGAGGCTTTGGCCGAGCTGCTCCATGGGGCCCTGCTGAGGAGGGGTCCAGAGATGGGCTACCTGCCGGGTGAGGCCCCCAGAGTGGCAGGAGTGACACAGAGAAAGAGGGAGGGACATTAACTCGGGGAGATGGGGACCCAAGCCAGGGACATTCAGAGAGGGATGGTTAGAGAGAGTCAAAACAGCATAGACAGAGAACCAGGGCAATTGAGACCAAATGATCAAGAGCCAGAGCCAGACAGAAAAACAGACCGTCAGAGAGAAAGACAGATGGAAACTCAGAGAACCAGAGTCTGAGGAATAAAGGGGAGAGAGAGACAGAAAGAGAGAGAAATGCAGAGAGTAGCAGATTTAGAATCATAAAATCAGAGAGCCACAAGAAGACTAAACAGAGAAGAAGAGTTCCAGAGAGAGCAAAAGAGAGAAAGAGGAGGGAGAAAGTGGTGCGCAGGAAAGGGAGCCGGGTCTGAACGGGGAAGCATGGGGAGGCTCAAGAAGACTGTCCGAGAGAGCCAAGAAGAAGGGCCTGGGTAGAGAGGTGGAGAGGGAGGGGTGGGGAGGCCAGGCTGTGGAAGCCTTGGGAGGGGGTGCAGAGTTCGGGTGCGGGAGAGGTGGGGGGCCTGCACCTTGTGGGGGAGGTCTTTTGGGTTCAGTGGGGGAGCCCCCAGTTTCCCTCAGCCCTGCTCCCCACCCATGGCCCACCAGTTTGCTCCTTCTGCGCCCTGACTTCCCTTGCACTGTCCCAGGATCTGATCCAGACCCCACACTAGCCACCCCTCCAGCCGGCCAGACTCTTGCAGCGCCCTCCCTGCCACGGGCCACTGAGCCAGGGACAGGGCCTCTGACAACAGCTGTAACCCCTAAAGGGGGCAGGGGTGCTGGCCCCACCGCACCAGAGCTGCTGACCCCGCCCCCGGGAACCACGGCCCCGCCCCTTCCTGGCCCCGCCTCCCCAGGCCCGCCCCTCGGGCCTGAGGGAGGAGAGGAGGAGACCACGACCACGATCATCACCACGACAACTGTTACCACCACGGTGACCAGCCCAGGTGAGGCGTTTGAAAGGGGATAGGGACAGTGTGCAGGAGCATGAATGTGGGAGAGGCGGGTGGCATGCAAGGGGAGAGGCTGCTGGAAACGTGTGGAAGAAGGGGTCTGGGTCCCGATGGGAGAGGGGCCTCTGCTCAATAATAATAAAGGCTGGCATGTGTTTCTCCTTGCTGTGTACCAGCACCGTGCTATGTGTTTTCTCTCTATTACAGTGGACACGGGTGGGGGAGGGAGCAGCGGATAAAGATGGCGAGGGGTGCTGGGGACAAGACAGGTGAGGGCTCCTGGAGTTGCTTGGCTGGGAGGGCAAGAACACAGGGCTTCACTCGACTCCAGCCACTTGTATCTCTTTAGTTCTGTGTAATAACAACATCTCGGAGGGCGAAGGGCACGTGGAGTCTCCAGATTTGCGGAGTGCCGCCAGCCGCATGGCGGGGCTCCTGGACTGCACATACAGCATCCACGTCTACCCCGGCTACGGCATCGAGATCCAGGTAACTGGACTTTGAAGCCCCCAAGCCCTTTCCTCTGGGCCCAGGTGTGTGCACAGGTTTGGCCTGGGAATCAGAGAAACTTTTCTGACTCAAATGGGCCTGTTTTCTGAGGATCTCAAAGACTCTCCTGGAGGTCTATAATATGGCCAATGTCACGGTGGTATCTGGGCTGCCACATTCAGGGGAAAGGAAAACAGACGGTGGGGGACTTAAGGGTCACCCACCCTGACTGACTTGTCCTGGGGGGCGGGGGGTCTGGGTCTGGCTTCTTTAGGTGCAGATGCTGAACCTATCTCGGGAGGAAGAACTCCTGGTGCTGGCTGGTGGGGGGTCCCCAGGCCTGGCCCCCCGACTCCTTGCTAACTCCTCCATGCTGGGAGAAGGACAGGTCCTTCGGAGTCCAACCAATCGGCTACTCTTGCACTTCCAGAGCCCACGGGTCCCCAGGGGCGGTGGC